AGGAGATGATAAGCTAATTAGTGCCCAGGGCAGAGCCAGGACCCCGAGACCCAGCTGGCATGCTCCCAGGAGGGGCCGGCAGTAGCCGGCTTGGCGCCCTGTGGACCAGCCAGCGAGCCTGGGAACATGCCAGCCTTGCTGCTCCGCCTCAGGCCTCGAGAGTCCCCGTCCTCCCGGCAACCTCTGGGCTGGCGAGGCCTTGTTTCTGGGTCTCAAGCTCCTACGAGGAGCCCTGGACTGGAAGCAGGGCTGGGGTTTGAACCCAGGGCTAGCTGGTCACTAATCCCCCAGGGGCACGGTCTCTCCCTGGGTCCTGGGGGGCCAGGCAGCCACAGAGAGGGCGTTTGGAGCTGGCAGGGCCTGGAGCTGGAGGGCATGTTGGTTCCCTTTGTCTGCACCGTGCTGGTCGGTCGTTTTGGTGTCTAGGTGGTGGCCTGCTGGTGTGGGGCACAGCGACCATTTGCCCCACAGTGGAGGGTGGGCATGGCAGGGGCAACGCCAGCAAAGCCAGAGATGAAGCTGGGCACCCCTACGTCAGGCCCCTGCACCCTCACATCCCAGGGTCCCTGTTCCTGGCCTGGCCCCTGGTCCTGAGGACTGCAGCTTCTCCCCAGTAAGGGTGCAGGGGGGAGAGGGGTGGGGTGCGTGCCTCGTCAGGAGAGCGAGACTTCCCTCCTTGCCCAGCACTGGGCTGACGTGCCCACTGGGTGGCAGGCGGAGGAGCCGAAGCCCGACCTCTATTCTGGGTCAGTGCAGTGGGTTGCCCCCTGGGGACCAGGGCTCTGCTGTCTGTCTGACCCAGCATGGCCCCGAGCCTTGCTCCCTGAGGTGACCAGGCAGCCTTGGGGGTCCCGGGGGAGGCAGAGAGCTGAAAGTGGGGGGCTTCGGCGTGGCTCCTGCCTGCTCCTATATTCCGTCCTTATGGGGAACCAACTTCAGGCCTGCAGCCCGGGCCCCTTGGGCTGAGACTGTGGTGCAGGGACGAGGTCCCCCTCACCTGCACTTCGTGGGTGAGTGCACTGGCCCGGGGAGGGGAGGGGAGCACCCTATGGAGCCTAAGCAGCCCCGGGGCCAACTCGCTCTCTGCTTCGGCCCTGGCTTTGGGCTTGTCTTGCCCTTTGGGCCTCGATTTTTCTCCTCTGCATCCACAAGTCTCCAGCCCTGTCCAGAGCCTGTCCCTCCGGGTGGGGCGGGGAGGCTAAGCTCTGCTGCTGTGTCTGTGGGCCGGTGAGGAGGGGGCACCGGAAGTAGAGGGTGTGTGACACCCCAAATTCAGTGGCCATGACTTTGAGGCTCTCAGATACGGAGAGCTGGGGCACCATGCATGTCAACCCAGTCACCCACTCCCCTCACCCACGCCCACGCCCACCCTCATTTAGAGGAGGAAGCTGAAGGGGCTGGCAGGTAGCCTCCCAAGGTCACACAGCTTGGAAGGTGTGAGGTACCAGAATCCAGGTGTCTGGTCAGAGGATGTGTGGGCTTCAGAGAGCAGTGGACAGGGAGTCAGCTCAGCCTCCACCCCACCGTGCTGCCCGGGCTTCGGGGTCCCGTGGGTGGGGGACAGGGGTGAACCAAAGGCTCTGGCAGGCACCTCCCAGCTCCGTCGTCCTGGGTTGGGAATGCTTGAGGCTGCCGTGGAGAGACTCCCGGACCCCGACTGCAGAGTGGGGAGGGCGGAGGCTGGGCTCAGCCCCAGGTTCGAATGAGATTCAAACGCCAGCTCTCAGCCCCAGCAGGACCCTCCCGTCTCTCTCTGGGTGGCCTGGAGCCCCTCCACAAGCAGGCAGGCCCTGCGCCTCTGAGGCAGGAGGGTGGGTCCCTGAGGGATGGCCACTCCCAGTGCCTGGGCAGGGGGCTGCCCTTGGAGGTTGGGCTGTACCTGTTGGGATCACCAGTGCCTGGGTTGGCAGCAGGGAAGGCCGGGCACCTGGTGCACCCAGCACCTCACGCGCCTCCTGCTGCGCGAAGGCAGGTGCAGTGGGGCCTCTAGACAGCAGGAGGGGCCTGGGCAGACCCGCCGTGGAACTTTCTGGCTGCTGGCAGAGAGCAGCCAGAGCTGGCCGCCTCC